ACTACATTGACTTTGTATCCTATTACTGGGCATTTGCCTGTTGGATATGTAGTGAAATAAATAAATAAATAAATAAAATAAATCACGATGAGTATGAACTTTTCTGATAATTTTGAAGCAATTATTTTTGGAAACAACTATATTGATAATACAGGAAACATAGTTTGTACCAGATGTAAATCAGTGATACCATGAACAAATATGCGGAATATAGTACGGGATTAATAATGCTTCCAAATTATTGTTTTATTTTTTTCAAATACACCTGTAAACTCAATAAATGCCACATTATAATAAGTAGTAAAAAATGTCCAAAAACATTTTGTGAAGCGTATTCAAAGGAGAACTTTGTCCGACACTTATTTCATATTTAGATGATTAATATTTAGTTAAACCAAAAAAACAGGTGATATTTAAAGTAAGTTGTTTTTTCGGGGTGTTATGCCGCGCCCTGCGTACCTGGTACCAGCAATGTACAGACTTACATTTCCTTAGCCTTAGTTAAAAATTTGTGACTGCCCTTTTTCTCGGGCTAGGCTCTGTGGAGGTGGACCTGCTATCAGATCCTCTAGGCTCGTCTTGATGTTCATTTCGGTTATTGTTGTTAGTTTTAAGGTCGCTCCTCAGACAATATTCCGAACTAGTCTCTGTAACTGGTTGCATTAAATGCTTCCAAATGTTTCGCCGTTCTTCTCTGTCGACATCTTCAAAAGATTTGCCTCGACTAAGGTCGCTTGTGAACTCGTCACCGGTCTCGAGTACGTCTCGGGGGTGCTCCCACGTTCGTCTGTCGTATAGCTAGTATCGTTGCGTATACATCCAGGCCAGGCTTGCAGAATGGTGTACCAATGTTACCATACATTATCCCTTCACGCCGTTGCTTATTCTTTTGAAGAGGTAACCAGTTCTACTTATTCGAAAGCCTTCTTCACGATTACCATTATTATGTTGTTCGATTTGCTTCCCGTCTCAGCAGGTTGTAATACGTTCTTAGAAGTAGCTCGGCGTCTTCGAAATTTATTGCATGTCCTTCATCAAACAACATTTGACGATGACTGATTTCTCAGGCTAATCTAGTCTTAAGACCCTTTCATGTTCCTTCCTTCTTGCAATAACCGACCTCTTTGTCATACTTATATAATCCTTGTCGTATTCACATGGTATACGGTTCCAAGGATAAACAGAGGATCAAGATGATCTTTTACTGTCCCTAACTCCTGTTGGATTTTTCGTGTAAGTATGAACAGACTACGGCATGACAACCGGAAATATATCGTACTTTAGAAAATCTGAACCTTACATAAATATTTGAATCTTGACTTTCTGGAGGATTAAATTTAATAACAAAATGCATTACAAAAATGGATGTAGTTATAAAAAAAACATGGTATATTTTTACGGAACTATTGATGACTGTGTTAAGAACAACAGGATTTTCTAAAGAAAATATTTTATAAAATTAGAGTATCATATAAGATGCTATTGCAAGTTAAAATTCGTAAAGAGTGACATACTTTTAGAATATTCATTAGTTATTACAGACAATAGCAAGTAAAATAATGCATTTTTTAAAATTCTGTGAAATAAACAAGCTGGTTTAGAACTGTCATTTGTTCCTGTTAAGTTTTAACTATACTTTCCCATAACATAGAATATTAAAAACAGTTTCTGCAATGGTAAAGACGTTCTTTACCTATTTAGCAACAAAAGACCAGCAGAAATAACTAGAAGAGATAAATTTTCGAGATGACTGAGGATATTCAAAGTAAAAAAGCAACGGACACGAATTCTTTCTTTTATTGCTTTCACCAAATAACTATTATTCTTTCTTTTTTAAATAACTGTCAAAGTTAATTCATAACGAAATGCCATTTCAAGTTCTGATAATGAGAGCAGGTTGATTATGGAAACGTCAACAACTTGTTGAAGTGCGCGATATACAGGGTGTTTCTGAAATAAGTGAGTTCCTTGAAAAGAGTGAAAGAGGGCCCGAAAATGAGCAACTTTTATTAAGCAATTGGTGGTCTAAATGCTTCTGTTTTCGAGAAAATTAATTAAAAAAATTAACCATGAATGTGAGCCGACCCTGTGCATCTTGTGCACGTGCACGGCCAGAATTCTTCGGACTAGCTACATGTGTAAAGCGTTTCTCTAATTGGTTGACGTTCCAGTAACTTCCACAATCAAGCAAATCTAATAATGGTAGGTCAGTAGTCAGTACTTATGTCTTGTGTTCTTTAGTTGTGTGTTGTAGTATTACTTAGCCGGGGTATAAAATGTTTTCTGATCAAGAACCAGCAGATATGTCGGTACAATTTAAATGAGACAAGAGACGGCATACTAGGTTTTCACAACATTCACTGTTGGTGTAATGCAAATCCTCACGTTGAACAGAGATCTCGAATCCAGCAACGGGTTTCAGTGAATGTGTGGTATGGTGTTTCGTATTAGCACATGGAAACAACTTTGAACAATTTTTGTAGAGCATATTGTCTGTGGGTAATTCGTTTAGTCGCTTAATTTTTGTATTACTTTTAAACGAGATTTGAATAAATTTCAGCATTCTCGAACACAAAATTCAAACCGTCAAAACCACCATCAGCGCTTTTGCACTGCGGCGTGACGCAACTTCCATATAGTAATACGTGTGGAAACGTTACGAGGAAAACACTCACAAGTTAGTAGACAAACGTTTATTTCGGAAATGCAGAACCTAATGTTACAATGGCTAATGAGTCGGAGGGTTTTATATTATCCGTTATCAGGGTTGTTTTTGTTATTGTACATCCCTGAGTAAGGGTAAATATGATAAGTAATGTTTGTCCCTTTTGATGATTAATAAATGGGTGGTCATTACGGCTTAGTAATGACAAACAATATTGTTATTGGAAAAATAAAAATAAGATGCGTCATAGGTATACTATACTACAATATCAAAGACAACAGTTGGGTGTCGCACCAAGGACGACTCTAAATTTGTTGTGACATTTTTTTCAATTTAAAATGTAATGTTTTAGACGAGGTTTTAGACCATCAGTTGTTTAATAAAAGTTGCTTATTTTAGTGCCCTCTATCACCTTTAAAGCACTTATTTCAGAAACACCCTGTATAGTGGTGTCTATTTTTTATTTTGTATTTGTCTGCTTTTTTCAGTGTAAAATTTAGGGTAAGGCAACATTTTTTCGTAGAAATAAACCTTGACTCATTAATTTGACGCAAGGGTTTATTTAAATACTTTTTAAATTTTCTTCACAGGTGGCAATATACCCAATCAATATAGAAAAATCTAAAAGTATAGGTACCACAAATAAGAAACCTCAGGTTGACATACACTAGAGCAGGTAAACCTAGAGTAGAGTTCCCAGATCTCAGCCATTGAAAGTGTTCTTTTATGTAATACATTAATCATAAAATAATAATAATTATTAGTTTTAAATTTGGCAATGAATCTTGTGTAATATGTGGAATGAAGAGGGAGATGATCAATTAATCAAATGCGTAACATAAATCAAGCAAATTGACTGTAAAACAAAACGATTTTTTTAAGTTTTGTTAAATTCTACGATAAATTTTTGTATTTGAATTATAATGTCGTGATAACTTTCTCTAAATAGCAACACCCTATTTTTTCAGCGGGATTTAATAGAGCCTGCTTGTCAGATAATATGATGATACTTCATAAGTGCATGCCTACACCGATGCTCCATAAGTGGTGTTTGATTAAAAATTATGATGTAATTTTCCTGGAAAATATTCTATTTTCCTATGTATAAAGAAGGGATCTAAGTTTCAAAAAGTGTAAGATAAATTGAAGGTACACGGTACAAATACTGCTTGACAGTATACTAAACTGAACAAATTCGTTCTGGATATTTATAATCGTTCCAGGAGAAATCAGTGTCATCTAAGCTCTGATAGCATTTTTAAAATTTTATACAGCCTATAAAATTTTCCCACATGAAAAAATCGAATAGCGTTATGCCCAGTGACCGGTCTGGCCATTCTATAACACCGTGTCTTCCGATCCACCGTTGTGGAAGAAGTTAAACTTTTTAAAGGATAGTAGCGCGTATTTCATAGGGAATATCTGGAATATACAAAATGCCAAGCCAAGCAGTATTAGTAATTTCCTTCACATTGGCAATTAAATTTGGGAAAACCTAAAAATTATTAAGAGAATAAGATCAAGTTTACATTAAAACACATTCTGTTTCATCGGCTGGTGATTGGTGAAATTCTTCACAAGATTCTATGGAACTAATCAGCAAACGCGATCTCAAGTATAGATGTAACGGTTTGTTATTGTTGACTGAAACAAATCAATGATGTGACGCTAGGTTTAGAGATTTTTTGTTGACAGTACCAGCCGTGCAATGTTGGTTGCTTAAGCTCGGCGATCACGTGGCTTGTGAATAATTATAAAGATTATGTATAAGCATACTAAAATAAGCAAGTTCTACGAACATCTGGTGAAAATATAAATTTAAAATTATAACGTCGCAGCTCTAAAACAATTACTTATTAGACGTAACAAATTTAACAAAACTATAAACAAAATCTTTTTAACCTATTCAGTTTTAATCCACAATCAATGTACCTACTTAACTTTTGTTACACAGTGTATATATTTTAATTAAGTTAATCGATTTCCTTTCGTTCCATTACAGTACAAAATATCCCTATACTCGTATTTATTACACACAAATTTAGTTACTATAGAACAGTGACTTACTAAAAGTTGGGGAATTGATTCAAATATTCAAAATGTGTAGATGCTGGTGGCTACAGACCACTTTTTATATTGTAAATAACTATTATTTGATTAAATTTACATAGGACCGGCTTTGCTGACATTATAAAGTTGAATCTCATTAATAATTTCGCCATAATAGTATACTATTTCATATGCATAAATGTTATGTTGATCTTATTGTGATCATTAGTGGTGCTAATGTCAATTATAACATACAGTCAAAGCGAAATAATAAAATAATATTTACCCCTCAATGCCGCCTATTAGTACGTTAGACATTATTGTAAATACTAATTCATTCCACGTTGTAAATGCCACGCGAAACACTACGTTACTTGCTCCGTCACAGTTGCACAAAATCGACTGACTGTTTCCATCGTTTGTAAATGTTGGGGCACGTTTTAGAATCACGAAAGTTGCCGATGTCTGCTCGGGATGTAGCGTGACGTCTTTTATCATAGATTTTAATCATTCCAAATTGGTATTTGACCCACCGGTTGACAGTTATGTCTGGGAGAATAGTTGACGAGATTGGAGTTTTATAGTAACTCGGTCCCAATCCCACGTAATTTTTAATAATATGTAGATATTTGCAATCCATTAATAGTTTCGTATAAACCTCCACTACTGTGACAAACACTGGAGAAATCCATTTGACATTTGTTTGACATTTAACATAATTTCAGCATCAAAACTAGGGAGATTAATGCCCGTTTGCACCGTAGTGTTTAATCCAGGATTAAGTCTGAACTTGGATTAAAATATAACATTTTGTTTGCACCGTTTCAAATCTATGTATTAATCTAGGATTAATTTAAACCCTCAAATTTGACCGCTTAAACTTGGATTAATGAGAAAATATAAATTGACACTATTGACAGTACTTAGCTGCTAGTTATAATTTTTTTTAAATAGGCATTTCTTCTTTTTCCTGTGGACTGTGTATGAGTGAGTGGTGTTAAGACATCATTGAAAACTTTGAAATGGATTCAGATTCTGACTTTGATGTATTGGATAATTTTGATATTCACGAAATTATAGACTTTGGATTTCCTAGATATATTAGAAATGATATATTTCATAATCTGGACAATATGACATTTATCCGCAGATTTAGGTTGACAAAAGAGACCACATTACATCTGCTAACTTTAATTGAAGAGGAGTTGGAATATCCAAGTGATATCTAAGTTTTACGAACACGTCGGCATGAACACGATGCAACTGGCAATCAGAATTTTGGAGTTAGAAAAAGCTTTTATTCTTAACATGGTTTTGTATTTCTGGAAATAATAGTGTATCTCCTATCCAACAATTGGTTCTATGCTTGTGCCGGTCATTTGTCTGCTATTGCAGACTTTTCGGGGATGGACATATCAACAGTGTCCAGAATAATTGTACGAGTATCAATTGCAATAGCTCGGCTTTATCAGAGATACATAAAAATGCCAAACCCAGAAGAAATAGTTAGTGTGCAACATGAGTTCCATAAAATTGCATCATTTCCTAGAGTGTTAAGGTGTCATTGATGGTACTCATATTAAAATTTTGGTTTGAGAATTTGACTTTGACATATTATTTTCCGAACATAACTGGACATAAGTTAGCAGGATAATAAAATCCCTAAACAGTATTCCTAAAGCCCAGTTTAATTTAATCTACAATCGGCAGTAAGTGGTGCAAAAGCTGATTATTAAAACCTAGTTTTAAAATTAAATCAAGTTCAGTGAGACTAGACAAGGAGCACGGGAAAATTGACAAAATTTGACAATGTAATAGTAGAAATTACTTATAGTTTTTACCTACATTAATTATTTTAAAATTTTTAACACATCACAAAAACGACATGATTGATTTTTAATTCAAACTGCTGCTTTCTTTATCTCCCTTCCACTATTTCGGGGTATGTGGGACACTAGCGCCTTCAAATTTGAGGCTTTTTTCGCGACTGAATATTAGTGAATATCTGAATTGTAGTTACTATTTCTATCTCTTTTGATGTTAGTTGTCCTATGGTAGTTCAAATCTCTTCACTCACTCATACTACTACAACATACGACTTCACTCGCGAAAAAAGCCTTTGGTAAGATAGTTGTTTACATGGAGTTCGTACTCCTTGTGTAGTCTCCACGATAAAAACTTTCAAACAGGAACAGTAACTACAATAGTTTTGTTATATTACGTAGAAATTTAATAGGTTTTATTTCTATGGTGTTTATTTAACACGAAAATTGTTAAATCCTACATTTCTGCCACTTATTCCGCTTATCAGTATCACTTTAAGTTAATTTTATTTTATTTACTTTCCTGGAATCATAAACAATATATGAGGAGTAGGTACTTGCGCTCACCAAATACGTCTTCATTTGCTTCTTCGCTACCCTTAACGTTTTTATGATGTTGATTTCCATACTTTTACCATTTTAATTAACAAGTGTTACAATCCAAAGTAAAATTTGAATATACTCTACCAAGGTCCTCAGTTATTGAATGACTCGTAATGGTTGTCTGTTTAATAAGGCCCGTATTCATAGTCGTTCCTTTATGAAAAAGGATCCCTTACTCCGTATTCCGCATACAATAAAGAATACCTACGCAATAAGGGATCCTAGTTCCTCAAGGAACGACTATGAATACGGATCTATAATGACTTACGAGTATGTAGGATGTAGGATGTACTGAAACTATTCTGTCAGATATTATGGAAATAGAGATATTTATAATTCTGTGCAACAATTCTTTCAAAAGTTTGAACGTTTCCTTGTTAAAACATATATCTCTTTAATATCTACTACATTCTTCCCTTTGCATTATAGTTTGAAGAGGTCGCATATGTAGCAAGACCTCTATACCAGCGATAGGTGTTGATGTAATAGCTCCTGTCTTATATCAGATCGTACAGATTATTTTCTTTTTATTGTTATTATGGCACCCGTTGACTCAGAATATTGTTAACAGCCTTATTACAACTGCCGTACTTAGGGACCTGAATGTGCTAGGAAAACTGCTTGTAACGTAATTCTACAAAAATTTGTGAAATCTAAATTTAGTAATACCTTTGTCAGATATTGTTTCTCTTTGTAGGAGTCCTTAAAATACAAGACATATATCTTTAATTGTTATTACTTCTTGCTCTTTTCATAGCAGTGGTGACAGCTTTAGCGGTATGTATTGATCTCATGGGTTCTGCCGTATTTGTAGATATCAGTTTTGAAGGTAACATCTAAAATGCATTAAACGACTTTTACTTCATACGGTTTCTTATTAACGCATCCATTGACGTAGAGTATGATTAACACTAACACTAGAAAGAAGAATTGACAAAAATTATTTTAACATTATAAAATCTTGCTCTTGTCTTGTATATCTGCACCTGATGACAGCGATGTAGCACCGTCGACTGGGGCTGACTACTTATTGTCCATTCGAGTGTTGTAGTCACTGTTTTGCAACATCTTAATTTTTCTTAGGAGCCAAGCCGTTACAAAGTGGTCCTATATTAATGTTAATAACATATTTAGAAACAGTCCCAGTCCTAGTGTTATTTATACATTTATTTAGAGATGTATTTTTTTAGACTATTTAATACATATATTTAATATTTTATTAGAGATATACCATTTTACAATTTCTTATTTTAGCTCAGCCACTGATTATAACTTATTGTAGCATTTCTATAACATATTTATTATAACATTTCCGTTCTACTGTGAGAGTTACTCACTCTCTCCTGGGGATTTATATTGTACAATTATCGCTTATAGCCTACAAACAACAAGTAATACTCTATTTAATGGACCAAAAAATCTTATTTCTTGCTAGAAGACTATGATCAAGTATTTTTTCTGACACACTGTGATATGTAAAATAACGGTTATGATTCAGATACCTATATATGAAGTTGTTTAACCCTGGCCCAGATTTCTAGTAATTATTGTTTAATACATACCTAGGCAATAATTGAACCATACTCCACAACTAAAATATTTTAAATTTTGTACTGTAAAAATTACATAAGTATTGTTGTTTTTGTATAAAGAGTGAAATAATTAATACGTAAATTTAAGAGAAACGCAGAGAAAAATCTGTAACAAAATCCGGAACGCGTAGTAATTTATTTGTTAGTTCTCGGAACGGATGGGCCAAAAAGTAAAATATTGAATGTATATAAGGGCTCTCAAGTAGGTTAGGCGTCGCCCTTCGGAGAAATTTAGAAATATTTTTTGAACAAGTTCATCTGTCGCGTCCGGGAGGCGCCAGCCTATGCTGGGACAGAATAAAGAGAAAAATCGATATTTTTAATAACGCGCGAAACCACGAGAAGAGCGTAGAGGTTCCAAAGTAGAATTAAGTCAAATTGTTAAATTGATACTAATTGGAAAAGAAAGTAATAGATCAAATAGCTGTTTTTTTGGCGGATTTTCCAAGCTATAAGGCTATATTAAATGAGATCGACTAATCCGCCCCGTATCGCTGCACGGAGTCACTAGAGGAAGGCTAGGGTTAATTGTAAGTTTAGTCTCAAAATTATTTAGATAAATGTAAAATCAGTCAATTTGATAACTATTAACATGGCATAGTTATGCTAAAGCGTCCCGATATCCAGGGTTCCCGCCAGTAAGATAAGAACAGAAACGTCTGGACCCAAGAAATGGCGTGTCGAAGCGAACTGTCGAATTCAGGAGAGATCTATGAAAAAAAGTCAGTTCTTCCTTAACATTGAGCAGTCTACTTAGTTTTAGAGTCTCGGGTTAATTTAATAATGGATAAAGTTATTCCAAATTTTGCTATGGAGCGCGCATTTCCTGAATCTCGGTACGCTGTCGCGTGTCAATAAATTAATTAATAATGTTGTTCGAGCCCGTTGTGTCGTTATTTTGTTTGTTTGTTCTGTTTTTTTATTGTTATTAAAACCCTTCCTGGAAGTTTTGGAGTTTCCTTTTGTTTCTCTCAACTTCAGTGTCACCCTGTATAGCCAGCCACTGGATTACATTCTACTAGGCAGTTTTCTTTAAATAATTTGCTCACGAAAATATTTTTGTTGCTTATTGGATAAGAGCTATGTTGTTTGATGCTATTTCCGCTAAGTATTCGATTTACTGATAGCCATTTTGGGGCAGAGTTCTCTCGACAATCTTGGCCCCGAAGAAAGTTTTTAAGGTTTATTTTTTTTTTTAAATAGAAAAAATTAAATTGTTAGTTATTGATTAACTAAATATCTGAAAATAAACAAAATTACATGGTTAATACTAATCTTAATATCTATTATTAATTTTTTTTTCGGCTGCAATGTTGTTTTATATTGAATATAGTCGTAATGCAGTCAGAAACTTTTGTTATTCCTGTATTTAGTCTGCTGATTT